TCATCAACACTTAAGTATGGGTAGGTTTCATAAAAAAAAAAAAAAAGAGAAAATCACGTTTTTGTCAAAGACTATGTCCGGATCAGATTCAGATCGATGATCAAAACATAGATGGAGTTGATCACTTCCATCAACACCCCCAAAGCTTACACGGTCCTAAAACACTTCCTGAATTGCCATTTCATTCTGTAACCTTAGGCAGTTTTGATTTATGTAATGATTAATGTTTGATGATCATGCCTCCTGCCGTGCACCAGTGAAAACACAGAAAGCCGGAAAATTCTGTCAGTGGCGGGAAAGTGTTGTCTCATAAATGATGGAAAATTCCATCAATGGTGGGGAAAGAGTTCAATGTAATTTAAATATGTTTATCTCGCACACATAGGCTGCATTTAGTTGCCTTTTTGCTGTATAAACAAACTTATCTGGCAGCAACAAAACTGATTTTGGCCAGGATTCCTCTAACAGCATAACAGTCTAATAATGTACAACAAAAGAGAGAGAGCTTTTGTGGTAACCAAGCAGATATTTATTCACCATTTTAATTTCTTGCTTGAGATTAAGGGAAAAGTAAAAAATGGGCAAAAAACTTACAATTATACACAAACTGACTGACAGGTGCAACTTTCAGACTCCATTGACCTCACGTTTTTGTCAAAGACTATGTCCGGATCAGATTCAGATCGATGATCAAAACATAGATGGAGTTGATCACTTCCATCAACACCCCCAAAGCTTACACGGTCCTAAAACACTTCCTGAATTGCCATTTCATTCTGTAACCTTAGGCAGTTTTGATTTATGTAATGATTAATGTTTGATGATCATGCCTCCTGCCGTGCACCAGTGAAAACACAGAAAGCCGGAAAATTCTGTCAGTGGCGGGAAAGTGTTGTCTCATAAATGATGGAAAATTCCATCAATGGTGGGGAAAGAGTTCAATGTAATTTAAATATGTTTATCTCGCACACATAGGCTGCATTTAGTTGCCTTTTTGCTGTATAAACAAACTTATCTGGCAGCAACAAAACTGATTTTGGCCAGGATTCCTCTAACAGCATAACAGTCTAATAATGTACAACAAAAGAGAGAGAGCTTTTGTGGTAACCAAGCAGATATTTATTCACCATATTAATTTCTTGCTTGAGATTAAGGGAAAAGTAAAAAATGGGCAAAAAACTTACAATTATACACAAACTGACTGACAGGTGCAACTTTCAGACTCCATTGACCTTCATCTCAACTCTCACAGAATTGCATGCGCAGAATAGTGGGATTCATAGGCAGTGGAAGATGCATCTGTGCTGCCTTCAAAAACAATCTGATGAAGGTATCTCGGTAGACAGGATGTGACATTGTTGCCTTCCTACATCCATATCCTCCCTGCGGTGGCAGCATTTTTCAGCTTTTGGGAGCAGCCTGAATTAATGTGTTAAAGTCTCCCCTATATAGTGCACTGCAAACTAGCAAAAGTCCCCAGTCTAAATCTTCACCCCTTTCTCTGTTTTGAAATGAAATTAAAAAATACGATTCATTTCTTTGGGGAACAGAAAACAGGCAATGACATGTTTTTGTGTGTATAAAGGTAAAAATATGGAGAGCTGAGCTGACCATGACCACTGGGCTGTCAGAAAATGGTTTCTGATTAAATTTAATAACCAGAGAATGCCTTCCTCCGATACTGCCCAGCCGGTTGTGTGTGCGTACAAAATTTTGAGCACTCAAGGTAGCTAAGCCGTAAATATGTGTTCACCAAGTGAGGTTAATCTCTTGTCCAGTGAAGGATAGAGATAGGCAAGGCTGCCATCATAAATCTCATTCAAATACTTGCACAACATTTGCAGGTGGCTCTTTCTGCCTCAGTAGGCAGCATTTTAAGACATTGTAGGCATGCCTAAAATGTTTATGTAATCTTTTATAAGAAATTAATACTTTTTTTCCCCAGCAAGTATTAAACTGATCAAAAGTGACAGTAAAAACATTTAGAATGTTACAAAAGATTTAATTTATTTCAAATAAATGCAACTTATTCATCAAAGAATCCTGAAAAGCAACATTTCAACATTGATAATAAAGTTTTTTGAGCACCAAATCATCATGTTAGAATGATTTCTGAAGGATCATGTGACACTGAAAACTGGGCCAATGGCTTATTTAAAAAAAAAATAAAAATTTAACAGAAAAAAGCCTTTTACAGTATTTAACAATATTACATTTTTATGTTTATTAGACTATTGCATTGTTAGCTTAGCTGTATTGCAATCAGCTGTGAGTCAAAATGAAGAGTTCATAGTGCGGCAGCTCAGGTTGGAATATAGTCATAGCAGCTATCAAGGAAATACCAATATCACGTCACATATAGGGGAAGTCGTGGCCTAATGGTTAGAGATTCGGGCTCGTAACCCAAAGGTTGCGGGTTCGAGTCTCGTACCGGCCGGAATTGTCGGTGGGGCTGTTTGCATTGTATTAATGTGGAAGGAAATATTAATACTGTGTTTGACACATGAAAAGTGTTAAAAGTGTCTCCACAGCCCTCCAAATTTGATTCTAACACATATCTGTTTGCATTGTATTAATGTGGAAGGAAATATTAATACTTTGTTTGACACATGAAAAGTGTTAAAAGTGTCTCCACAGCCCTCCAAATTTGATTCTAATGTGTGTGCTTATGAAATAAAATGGCTTTTAGCTGTGCCCGGAATAATCTTGGGATTCTGGGTTAAGTCATTAAGTCACTCCAGGAGACTGTGGGTTTGTGATGATTAAAGGACAGTTGACTGCATCACGCACACACTCGCACACACACTTTTCACCTTCCATGGGTGTAATACATCATCCTAATGAACCTGTGCAGCCAGGGCATGCAGTACTTGATTAATCCACAGTCATTAAATCCAGTCTGCCGAGGACATCAGGAGGGAAGAGCATCCAGAGCCCCTCAGCTCAACTCTCCATTAATCTACTGCATAACTGGCCTGAATACAACACCGATCAAAACACACAGTACACCGTTCCCACACTTTTACTGTTAAACACTTTAGAGAGAATTCCAAAACTGAACCATCGTGTGTAAAACAAAATGAATTAATTATTAAAAATGGATTAAATAATAATAAATAAATAGGCAAGTTATAAAAATAGTTCCGTTTCTGAATGCTGGATGGCCAATACTGTGTTCCGGCCAAGATAAAATACACAAGATTGAGTCATCATTATTTTTAGATAGTTTTCCCAGAAGAAAGATATTGTACATTTTAAATATGTATATTTTCCAAAGATTAATCATATTTTTATTAATAAATATTTTAAGTATAAAACATAAACAATTTTATTTAAGAAAGAAATGTTTTATAAGAACGTAAAGCACATTCTCTTATGCTTTTATCAATTCTTGTGGAGACATTATGAATGTAAAAGATACATTTGAGGGAATATGCCATATGCATAAAGCTTCAGGTAGTTCAGCTTTGGCTGCTGAAAAACAGCAGCCAAACAGCAGCTGTTTTGAGGCAGACATGTTGCACATACCCTCTTCCAGGAAAGGGGTATTAACATGATATATCGTGCATAATTTTTTTTTGCCACTGGCCAGAGACAAAATTTCCACCCGCACATGCATTCCTAATAAAGCAGAAGATGAGCACAGATGGAGTTTTTTATTTATTTATTATTATTTAAACGAAGATCTCCCTCACTGATCATCTAACCTGTCTTTTCTTTATTTTTCCAATACTTTTCATGTTTTAATTTATATATTTTTCCGTATTTAATATATTTATGTAACTTCATTTTAAATTACATAATTTAGATTTTTTTATTTTTTACTTTTTTGTATTTATCTTAATTACCTTTTTCTGACTTCTGAATTAAAAAGTACATTGTTTGCTGTAATGTCTGTATGCAAATATCTAGATAGGCTTTTTGTAATCTTGTAATCATCGGGCACATTGTTCGTTGTTGTTTTATTTCTCCTGATATGACCCCTTTAAATGAGTGCCTTTCCACACCTCCTAATTGATGATAAAACTACATAAACTGGCATAGAAGTTTCAAGCCAGCCTCTAAACAGATTATCTTTACACACTTTCAATGTTAATAGGTCTGTTTGCTTTTTTTTATTGTTTTTTAAAAGGTCACTTAGTGCGAGCGTGTGTCTCTCTGTATATTTGTACAATAATGGCTTCCTTTGAAAGTGTCTTAATAGTCATTTACTGTTGTGACAATAATTTGCCCTCAAGTTTATAAGCTGTCTTAATTGACATAAATGATTGTCATTAGGCAGGGGAATGTCTGATTTTGGCTAACGGGCAGCGGAGTGCAGAAGTGACCTCTTTTATGGTGCAGCGGGGGCTGGTGGAGCTTGTTTACTGATCCCTGGGGAGGGGGAACGTGTGTGTCGAAGTCATAGTTTATACATTCATTTGCGTATGCCGATGTCTATGAGAGGGTTTAGAGTTTAGCCCGTCCCCAGGAAGTGTTGATAAAACCGGCTGGCCGGAAAGCTTGTGTAAATGATTACATTCCAGTTTAGCCTTGTAAGGCTATTTTTACCTTCCCAGCCCTGTTCTGAACTCCACCTTCACTCTCTCTGCTTCTTACTGAACAGGAAAGACTGGTTTACATGCAGCCAGACAACCGGTTTCTCTGTCACTTTTGTCAGATAGGGCGGTGGGCGTTATCATTCATAATTGGCTCAAACTGTTGGTTTTCTCCAAATTATCATGTTTATTGGACTGTGTTTAATGTTGTATGCTTTAAAACATATAAAATGTTCTGTTCCCAGTGTGCACTGGGACATTCCACTTCCCAAAAATCCCCTAGACTCATACCACAGAGGTTGTTCGGTAGCACACTTCCTGTGTCTGTTTCTGTATGTGTATGTGTGTGTGTGTGTGTGTGTGTGTAGAGAACACAATTAGACTCTTGTCATGTGAAATTAATCCACAAATCCCAAACAATCTGAGCAAACTAAACTAACCAAGCCTGAAATTTCTCTGCAGAGCTTGGATGAGCTTGATGACGACGATGGAGAAGAGAAGGAGAGGAAGATGGAAGAAAGTCTTACGCAGCACAACACTGTCCAGAACGAGGCAATGACCCCTGACCCCGGAGCGGCCTACTCGATACAGGTGAGAGAGTGTTTGTTATAGTCATTTCAGAGGATAATCCTGCCTCTAGAGGGTGTAGAGTGCAGTCACTGTTCGGCCTTACAGAGGCAGTGTTGACCAAAGAAACAAACACAATCAAGTGACAAACAGAAAGCAGGGCAGTCAACGTTCATGCTGCATCAAGCCACAATACATAGCAAGATAATAACTCTTGACATTAGACGTGATGGTGTTTTGTCTTTTATTTACCTTGTGCTATCACCTGTCTAGAGAGGAAATGTGACTCAGGATCACATCTGCATCATCTTTTTGACTTTTTTATTTTAGTTTTAAAGCAGAACTTTAGGGGTGAGCAAAGGTGACAACAACATAAGAACTAAGAAAACTAAGAAAAGAGAAAATTGGCTGAGAAAAGAGACATAAAAGACAATAGTAATTGTGTAAAATACTTCCCTTGTTGCTTTTCAAGTATTAATTAGATATATACGATATTAACA